AGATAGCATCTACAGTACGCGTTCTATTTAAGTTTACAGTCACCTTGCCGCCACCAGGAAGACTCGCCACCAGCTTTAATTTCTTCTGCCATCTGTAGATTCATCTCTCTCTCACTTTATGTCTCCGATTTTTATGAGGAGGATACTGGCATTTACGAACCCGAAGGTCTGAATCTCACACCAAGTTGTGCATGATATTTGAGGTACATCGTGAAATCGCGGCCTTCGTAATCTCCAAATAAGCCAAAATACGCTAAAATAAGCTCCATCTCGGACGAAACACATGTTTGGGATACATCGACGTCTCTCAAATGTTTTTTTTAAGCTGTATACCCACGAATTTAGAGGTGTGAGCTATTGCCGTCCCTGGCCAGCGCGAGAAAAATAACATTTGGTTCCACAGTTAGTTGCAAATGAACAAGACAACTGCACCATCTTGACTTTATCTATTCGAGTGTTAGATTGAATTGAGGGCTTTTTGGACACTCGGTTTCTTATATGGCATCACTATGAAGACGTAATACAACTGATACACCTACACTACATAGGATTAACAATGTCTGTTGCGCTGTTACGAGAAAGAGGAAAATATTACCGGAAGTGTAAACTCTTTTTAAAAAGAGCTTCAGAGACGTTTCAGAGATGTCTATCTTTGATCGGCTGTCACAAAAAAATGACCCCCACTTAAAAATGAACTTACCAACTCCTCGTTGAACAATTGTAATTCATTTGACAGATACGCCGGTTGTTTCAATTTTGCTTTTTCCTCGGGCTGCTATGAAACAGTTCATAAATTGACTAATGAATAAAATGTTTTGAAATACCGTTCGGAATTTGCCTTTTTTTCTGCGTGCAAATCAAGGGTAGACAAAGTTTTTAAAACATTTGACTAGGATTTCGTGGAGTTCACCTCGATAATTTTCGTCGGCCAGAGTCAAGACGCGCCAAGGTAATCGACATCGCCCTCCATTAAAATAATTTTCCAAAGAATAAACGTGGCGAGCGTGAGGAAACGCACATTTTTTTATTATTGTGATCAAAGCCCAACGATGTACCTAAATTGGTACTTACGGTATTAAACCATCGATTATGACAGGCTGAGCTTAATTTTTCTGTCGACGTCGACGTGACTTTACATTAAAAGCGTTTTTGACGGAACAAATTAGTGAGCATCTCTGCACGAACTGAGAAAGTAAAAACTTGTATTTATCTTCCACGCGTTTCGTCTGACAATAGTAGACTTCATCAAGGATTTTTTCAAGTAGGGTAAATAAGCTTGCTCATATACAAATAGTAAATAAGTCGTCTCTTTGCTATTGAAGCCAGTGGATAGAATTCGCCAGGTGCGCCTACGGTGTTATACATGCCTGACATTTTCCGGACGTTACGTGTACGAGTACGTGATCCGTTTGAGGGTCACAGATTTAGTGTAAATATTTCACCCCTCAACATCACGCAATGTCTTTAGTTTACAGAGGTCTTAGAACGTTTCATTATATGGAGTTGCCATCTGAAATTGCCTTTGATTTCTCAATTGATGTTGTCGCAAACACAGTTTTTGGGAGTCACGAGACAAAAAAATTTATCAGGACCTAGTTTCATGTCCTAATGGAAATAAATAGCAAATAAAAGCACATTTTCTTGAGAAATAAAGTTACAAATGACGGGGGTTCTCTGAAACAAATAGTGATAGAAAAGGATTTCAGTTCTGGTCAATATTGACCGCTTTTCATGGCCTACTTCCAAATCTGAGGGAACGTGCTGAGGGAATAAAAAACATAAATGTGTGATAATGCCAGCAAGAGAATTAAAATACAAATAAAGAAAAAGGAGAAAACATAGGAACCCGTGTTGCAGCGTGCAGATATCTTTTGAGCCAGACCTACACACTTAAGCCTGACACCACCCAGAGGAACCCGATAGAGTCCTGTATATGAACCAGCTCGCACGTACACGCAGGAAAGGGCATGACAATCAGCGAACATAATAGCAAATGCAGATGACATTTGCAGTCAAAAAAGGAAAATAAGATAACAGAAGGATTAGGAACTTTCTAGAAGTGTCTCCTTGAAAAAAAAAGATGAACAATTTTTACTTGTCGTGAAAAGTCACGCAGTAACCTTACAAATACTATTCCTATACGTGGAATTTCTTGATGGTGGAAAGTGGAAAAAACATTATTCAGTCTTATTTTCTGGAAACATGGCGTATTTAATGAATTTATGGGGCTATTGATATTTCCTAACAAATAAGGGGGGCAGAGTTTCCCGTCATTCGCGATATGGAAAAGCCGAAGTTGTTACACTCGGGAACTTGTACGTCAACAAGCAGGCGACATGTGACTTTAAAATCTCCTCTCCTGTTACAGTTTCCTTATTGTAAACTGTGCAATCCTTTCTTGATCAATCGTCTTGTATAAAGAGCTAAAAAATGTAGGTTTATTTGGTCAAGTGACCGCCTAGAGCAAGAATTGCGTGACAGGTGTGGTTGAGAGAAACTTGTCACAGTCGCAGACTTTAAAAGGCATCCAAGACAAAAATACGGAGGTGCCCAAAGACTTTTTTCGATGATTTTCAGGGATGAAATGATGGGTTATAAAGGGAATTAAGATTATTGTTGTAGCTTTCTAGCAACGGGAGATATTTGACTTCAAAGTTGTCAAATATTTGGATGAATCGAAAAGTCTAAAACCACAGTCGTTTATTTGCCTCTGTTGATTGAGAAGACGCTAATCAAATTGACTGATACTTACGTCGAACGTTTACTAAGGATGTAATAATATGTGTGCAAACCCTAAAAGTAATTGGTTAAATATCATCGCAGTGAGAACTTCATACATTTTACCTATGTAGAGCAACCCCCCCCGGTAGGGGGGGGCTGCTCTATCTCCCCCCGGAAAAAAACAAAACAGAAACCACTTTGTCTTATTGAGTTTTGAATTGGCCCCTTAACTAGCAAAGTTTCATTGAAATCGGTGAGATGGCACTTGGCACGACTGCCCGGTGCTCTCGTGGAAACGCTCTTGAGTCATTATCTAGCTGTTTTAAAAAGAAGAATCAGGACTAACCTAACTCTTAGTGTTTTTGTGGGAGTTGTTGATCCCAATTTAAGTGTTCTTAGAAGTTTTAGTTGTCTGTAAAGCTAAATAAATCTAACTGAAACCTAATAGGGCCTGTTTATTCTTTTCCGTTTAGTTTTTTTGTTTTGTTTTGTTTTTTCTTTTTTTTTCTTCTGGTCTGTAATGATTTTAATGGTTTCAGGTTCTTTTCCCAGAATTGAGCAACAGTAATAGTATGCTTCTTTGTGTTGTTGCCTACAGGAGCCACTGCTTGTGTTGAATTGAAGAGATAAGGGACTAGCTGTATCCTTTGAAGGAATCTTTCATTTTTAACCGTGGGTATAATGGAAATAGTTCCCTTAATTTGATGTTTTAAGGGAGAAAATACAAAGAAGGGTATTAATTATGACGGGAACTTGTCAGCTAATAGACTTTAAGTGTGTGTGATTAAAAAACGTAGGAAAAGTTATTACCTCATGACTTATTAAAGATATTACTCCTTTTAGCCAATTTGACATAGATCTACTATCCATGCCAATAACTGGTACATTAGTTTAGATAAACCTTTAATACACAGACCAAGTTTTTAATTATCCTTACTGTTAACCGTACAATTTTTGTAATGTTAGTTCAGAGAATTCGGTATTGGATCATCAAAATCCCAAATTGTTTTTGTTTTTTTTTTACTCTCAACACCTATCTGATTGATATTGTATTGCTATTGTAAGGAGAAATTCTCTTTTGGTCACTCATGGGAGTTAAAGGATTAAAAGACTACTATTCATCCAGTTTATACATGGTACGTAGGTAGATGATCTCTCTAAAACAAAAAAGAACAAAAAGCTTGGTAATGTTAACATATCTTATGCAGATTTTCTTGCCTTCGACCTTTTTCTACTACTTAGAGACTCGGAAACTGGGGATTAAAGTAGGGATTAAATCTAGATATTTCGCGTTAAACTTTGATGCTGCACACAGAAAAAAAATTTTTGAAGTGTAGATTTACTTCATAACTGACTTTAAGACTGAATGTTCATAAAACATCTACCTTTCATTTCCTAATGGGCCAAAGATAGTTGTGTACAACCTGCATCTTTGAAAATAAGCTAAAGGTGACTTTGTTGGATAGAGACCAGTATCTAGTGACGATAAAAACAAAGTTAGTTTGCATTTAAAAGGCAATGTTTTTATCATAACAAGGTCATTTCAAAAATCGCTCTTGTTCAGAGGCTTGGGAACCAAGCTAAATATTAAAATGGACTAAAGTACATATCAATATGATTAGAAACATAAACTTTTTGTTTTTTCCAATTTTTAAACCTTAAGATAAAAAGATGATTTAAAAAAACAATAGGATCTTGTTGTCATTAAGACTTCAGTCTGTCATTAAAATAGGATATAAGTCCATGGAGAAAAATCCTATGGTCAGGACCATGGTAGTACTATTCAGGTGATGTCATGAAAGTTTTAGAGCTGCTAATCGAGAAGAAAAAGCCATAGAGTACCTCAACCTATATCTTAAAATAGCTAAAGGAGTGGGAGACAAGCATGGGAAGGGTGTTGCTTATGGCAATCTTGGCAATGCTTATTTTAGACTGGGTGATTTCAAAAAGGCCATAGAGTACCACAACCTAGATAATAAAACAGCTAAAGAAGTAGTAGACAAGCATGGGGAGGGTAGTGCTTATGGCAGTCTTGGCAGTGCTTATTTAAGACTGGGTGATTTCAATAAAGCCATAGAGTGCCACAATCTAGATCTTAAATAGCTAAAGAAGTAGTAGACAAATACTCGGAGGCAAGGGCCTACTCTTCATTTGAGTTGCAAGGTGGACTGCCGAAAGTCGTTGAACACAACCAAGATAGCATAAACTTATTCAATTCTTTGAGAGTGCTCCTAAAATCTAAAGATGAGTGGAAAGTTAATTTTCGAAATCAGCATCAAATGGCGTATACGGGTTTGTGGAGAGTTCTCGTAGAACAAGGTAATGTAGATGAAGCCTTATTTGTTGCTGAGAAAGGACGAGCTCAAGCTCTGACCGACCTCATGGAATCCAGTTTTTGAGGTGGAACAAGTCAGCACAAGGGAGAAGATGAAGATATCGCAGTTTTAAAAAACGTTCCATCAAACACTGTGTTTCAGGCAGTGGACAAAGCTAACGTCAATCTTTGGGTTGTGTCCAAAGGAAAACAAGTTCAGTTAAGACAAAGTAAACTCAAAGGTTTTGTTTCAGAGAATAGTAGATCTAGCCAGTCCTTTGAGTCGTTCATGCTCGGTGTCTATACACAACTTGGTGTTCGTTCTAATGTGAGATGCGAGAATCGATCTTTGGATGCTTTGAGGGAGGACCATTCAAAAGTGGATGAGAAAACCAAAGAAGCCAACCCTCAAACTGACATCCAACAAGACGGATGCTTGAGCAGTTTGTATGATATCGTTATGAAGCCGGTGGCTGACCTGATTCAAGGGGATGAGCTACTCATTATTCCTGATGGACCCCAGTGGATCGCTCCTTACGCTGCATTGCAGGATAGTAATTCTAAATACCTGTGTGAATCGTTCACAATCCGAGTCGCTCCATCGTTAACAAGTCTTAGACTCATTGCCGATTGCCCAGATGATTATCGCAAAAGCAGTGGTGCGTTACTTGTAGGAGATCCGTGGGTATCCGAGGTTACTAACAGCGAGGGAGAGAAACCCCTCGAGCAGCTTCCGTTTGCTAAAGAAGAAGTAGAAATGATTGGAAAAATTCTGAATATCACACCAATCACTGGCAGACAGGCCACGAAACGTGAGGTGTTGAAAAGACTCAGTTCCGTTTCCTTAGTTCACTTTGATGTCCGGAAACTGGCGAAATTGCTCTTACACCTGACCTAGACCGAATATCTACTGTGCCTACCGAGAAGGAGGATTACATTTTAACGATTCGAGATGTGTTGAATTTTCAACTTCGCGCCAAACTTGTTGTGCTCAGTTGCTGCCACAGTGGTCGGGGCGAGATCAAGGCTGAAGGTGTGGTTGGCATTGCGCGCGCTTTCATGGGGGCTGGTGCTCGGTCTGTTGTGGTGTCCCTGTGGGCGATTGACGACGAGGCTAATCTCGAGTTCATGAAATGCTTTTATCAACACCTTTTATCAACCTACAAACAAGTCACTGAACCTGGCCATGAAAAGCCTCAGAGAATCAGACAAGTTCCACGAAATCAAATACTGGGCGCCCTTTTTGTTGATTGGAGATGACCTCACGTTTGACCTGATGGCAAAGGAAAGAAAAAATTTGGATAGAAAATCAAATAAATGAGAAAAAATGTTTTTTCATCTCAAAAGAATGACGTAGGAACTTGGAAGGTTTAAATGTCTCTCTATTTTAAACAATTTCTGGCTATTTTTCTTTACTTTTTACTTTTTTGTTAAATGAAAATTGAGATGTGTAATTTTACTTTGATGAAGAAATAAAAGCAGTCTATTTCATTACATTTTAAACAGTGGAATTGTCTTTTTTTGTTACCTTAACAAATTTAAATGCTTGCGAAGAGAACGAAATGTAACAAGGCCTCTGTTATGAACGAGGTTTCCATTTCCACCAACATGTCACTCAGCTCTGTTCCTGTATTACAATCAGTTGTATGGAAAATAATTTAAAGGTTATTTCTTTTACCCAACCAGGGGCTTTTCCACCGGATTTTAATTACCTTTATGCTCTAAGATTTTGATAAGCAAAGAAACAATTCGTCATTTGCAAAAGTTGGCGAATTTTTATTTCCATAACTTTGATTGAATATGTATTTGAATTGATCTTAGCTCCGTTTTCTACACCATAAATTACTTTGTTACAATTTACCTTCATCTTTAGAAAAAAATTGATTACCATTTCAGCTCAATCAATTTTAATACAATCTAGTCTAATGTAAGATTGCCATTCTAAGCTTAATTTGAAGAAGTAAACATCAGAGACGATGTTATTAAATTTACTTACCATATGTTAGAGACATTACACCTACATTTAGGGGTGTAGCCAGCCTCTAGTCCCGTAGGCCTGGTCTACAATTGTTTTCCGCCCGCTTGACTTTTACTAAAAGATAATATGACAATTGCAAATGTTGAAACAAAAATTGAAACTTCTGAGGGAAGAGGCTTACAATTAGTCAAAAAGCTGGCTACAACCCTGTTTTCAATCAAACGTGTCTGGTCAATTTTTGTCCGTTTTACCAAACACTTATTCGTTCGTTTTAAAGAACTACAACAGAGAGGATAAAAATTGTCCATGTAATCTAAACCAGGAAAGAGGGACGCAGAGTTCACTATAATTAAAGTTTCCATAGGTGTGACTTTTATTGTATGTGACATGGAATTTCTAGCAGTTAATGTAAGCCATTCCTCAATGGGAATTATTTTGGTGAAAAGGCTCATCAATTAATGTAAACCTAGTGCGTAGTTGAAAAGGTTCAGGGCTTCAGGATAAAACTTCTAATTGTTGAAAATCACCTCTTCAAATTTTTTTCATTGCTTTAAATTTACCTCAGCTTAGTTTGAAGATGTCTGATAATATCTTTGTCAGGTTTAAGAATTTATAGTTTGGTATTTAGAGCACACTTTGTAATTAGAACCCGTTATGTGGTCAAAAGTTTTAAGACATACTGTATCACTGTTGTTTTAGAAGAAAGCTTTGAAAAATCAATCTTAGTTTTGCAGATTATTGTAACTACCATTGGTAAATACTGGTATAAAATGTAATAGTTAGCCTCACACATGGTTGAATGTAATTTAACATAGGATTTTAAAGACATGCTGTCGAAATGCTGGGACAGTTTCAACTAAACATGGTTTGTATAATGTCAGTGTATTTCGTGTGAAGTGTTTTGATGGTTTTTTTTTTATTTTAAGTTGAAGATAATTGTTCATTTACCTCAGTTTATATTAATTAACTCATGAACGCCCAAGTTCTGAGGAAACATTCTCCCAGCTGATAAGAATGTGTTTCTCTATGCTGCCGCTTGTTCCGAGAATTCGACGAACATTACGTTTCTAGTAAAAGATTATCTTCCAGCTTGGATTTTCTCTAATTGTTATTGACACCATGTTTGTCGGTGTATTAATACTGTGAGGAGAATTTAAATGATGATCAGTCTTGGGAGTAAATGGGTTCATTTTAGTGTCTCCGTTTAGCGTGTATTTTACTTAATGCCTTGAACGATTTAATGCAGTTTCTATTGTGCTTATTTTTTTTATTTCTTTGTGTAAGAGAAATATAAAGTGTAAAAAATACAAAAACTGCGTTGATTGACATTGTCTGTCTCCATATTCTTAGGATGCACGTAAGATATAGAGAAAGCAGATCCTATGGGGACTTCAATGCTTGTTTTGACCCGCGCGCTGAGTTGATAATGTGTGCAGCTAACAGTGTACTAACATTTCATGTTTCAAGCCCCCGCCCACTTTACAGAAGCGCGTCATCTCTTCGATTGTATCTCTTTCACTGTCTATCGTTCTCCTTATTGCCACACGGTTTTGAACGCCGATGGACATGGATGGAAACTGTGAGCTTCATGGAACAGATAATGTCCAAGGACAAATATCCGTACATATATTCGCGCAAAAGAGAAGCTGTCGTGTTTTTTATCCTTCAAATATTTTGCAATGTACGTGACAAATGTCAATGAACGGCTTACTGAATCGAATTAAGGAAGGGGTAAGTTTATAAAGAAACCGTGGTGCTGCGTCGGTGAGAGAGTATAACATGGTAATTTAGTATTATCAACTGAGTTGAGAACGTAAACTGGCCATCGCAAAGAGTTTAAAAACTGACGTTTCGAGTATTAGACCTTCGTCAGAACGATTGCAAAGGGTTAACGCTCGAAACTTGAGCTTTTAAACTATTTACGGTGGGCAATTAACGTTATCAATTCAGTTGATAATACCTAATTACCCTGAGTTGAATTAATTTTGAGACTTTTTGACTTATCGTGGTGGACGTAAGGTTTGCAAGTTGGGGAACCTCGTTCAGGTAATATTCTCAAATATCACCTAGTTTTAGCCGAGGGATATGCAATCACTTGCTGCGTTTAGATCTATCGCGCGCGAGCAAAAATATTTGATGGATCCTAAGCAATAGTATGTACCCCCATAGAGCACTACACTTCCCACTACTGCAATTTACATCACAATACAGCGCTATACAACAAAATGTACCCCTAAGTAGCCTTGATTGGCGTAATAGAATACATAAATCGAAATGCTCCAGCCTCACGGGCCATGCCTTGTGTCTTTCTCCCAGGTTCATTAAATACTTGATGAAAACCTCCGCGTCGTTGAAAGAAAACACACATTTTTAGCGCAGTCATGACTCGTCTGACGTGAAGATATAGAGATCGAGAGTTGATTACGGCTTCAAGTTTCAAATTCTTAAGGGCGGGAAATATGTCTTGAACTCTTGGGTTGGACTCAAAAAGTCTGAAACAAAATCATTCACGAACAACATTATTAACTCTGAATAATGGAAATTCGATTCACGTTTACTTTAGATATGAATTTTACTCCCATTTTGCCAGTTATGCAAAGCAATCACTAAGCAATACTCACAACAAGACACATCTTCACAGTTGTAAATCTCCATCCTCATCCTCAGTAGAACTATGCTATCACGAGGGCAGTCCGCGTGCATTTGCATTTGAAAGTCAATTTGCGCAAAATAATGACCCGATTGGTAAGAAAACAGGCAAAACACGCAGCAGCGCTAATGGTTTCGCGTTTGCGCACGAAAAGGCCCGAGAAAACGTTTTCACTGTCTATTAAATTGTTGATTGTTTTTATTTCTCGGGTTCCTCTTTAAAACCCGGAGCTCGGTTCTTAGCGACTTGTTCAAGTACTGCACTAGTTAAGACGTAACTAAACTCTTTATACAATAGACAAACAACATTTGGCAACTTTTAAAGGACATTAAACACGTTATGATAAGTCTACAGATTCTTTAGGCAACAATACTCGTTGACAATCTATAAACATCGGTCGCAGTTGCAAAAGTTTAAGCGTTATATTCGAGTGTTTTGCATTGGGAAAACTCATTTCTATTTATATGACGACTAACCCTCTTTCTCAAATGTAAAAATTTTACAGAACCTGGTCAGCCCAGAGGTGATTTAGACAATGAAAATAAACTTACCATCTTTACTAATTCTATCAACAAACATTACGCTATCGATATTGCTGATCCTGGCAGTATACAGGACGCGTATCAATATTTTCTTCGTCTCAAGCTCGTGACATAACGAAAAACATCTTACTTAATAAATATAATGTTAGCAAATATAAACAGCGACTGATCCTTTCTGTAAACTTGTAACTAATTTTTCTCAGTTCTTCAGAAAATTCTCTTTTTTCCCTTCTCATTTTTCAAATGATATATATATAAATGTTTGAATGTTACATCTGGGGACTATTTTTTCCTGCAAAAAATTTGGGCTCCAAAGGTGAACGTTTTAAAAAACAAACAAATTGAGTTTGAAAGGTGCACGCATTTCGGCTGGTGAACATAGTTGCATTTACAATTTATACAAAAATAGGTTTTTCAATGCTTACTTAATCGGATGTCTATCTCTAATGTTGTGTTTTATCGATACCATGGTCATCACCGACTGAACAACAAATTTTTAGTGTTTACTAACAGTTCAAATGAATTATTTAGGATATCATCCATCGAAATTGAGGTTTCGATCTTCATGCAACTAAAAATAGAGGTAAGATATAATGGTAACGAAGAATAAAAAAACATGGAAGTCATCAAGAATAATCTCGCCAAAGACCTTCCCATATACCAAGGAGTTAGACCACTTGATTCGACATGTATTAGTAAGCTACTTTCACGTGTAACATGACATCCAG